AAAAAAAAAAAAGTTGAAGTCTTGAGGCCAGAATTTTGGATGCTGTTACCACTAGGTGGTGGTGCAATACCAGAGAACAGGGGAGCATTCCCAGAAAAAGCTCTGCTATCTATGAGAGCTGCTAGCAATCGTCCCAGCTCAGAGGCTGGTCCTGGACACAGGCTCCAGGACCGCCAGGTCCTACAGCTGATCCACCCCAAGCCCAACAATCCCAACAGCCACTCTGGAGCCCACAGCTCAGCGGGAGAGCTTATAGAAACCCACCATCACATCAGCAACTATTGATCTTCTGCACTATTCATACACGGGCCACGCAACCCAGCCTGCTCTTGTTGCATCTTATTTCAAATCTAGTCTTCTAGAAATAAAACCCTGTCCTTCACCCTCCCCCTGTCCTAGCCACTTAGCAGAGAATGGAAACAGCCAGAAAAACATCCATCCTTCTGGTCGTGGCATGGCATTTAGAGCATCTCAGAGTCCCCGCGAAGGAAAGATGTGCTCAGACCTCTGGAACAGGGAGGGATTCACAAGTTCTGCATTTTATTCCCAACTGGTTTTACCAACTCTGTGGCCAACAACATTACCCTTGCAATACCACTCCTTCCTCTTCTCAAGAAACAGGCACTTCCCAGAAGTAGCAAGAAAACGTCAACTGTTAAGTTCTCAGAATTTAAGGCAAAATAGGACGTTTGCAGCAGTTATTTTAAAAGCCACGTCACAGAGGCCAACATGACCCGAGAATCCTGTTTAAATAAGAAGTGTAGAGACAGAGAAGTGGCTCCTGACTGTCCCCATCAGCCCTACCTGGACAGTCAGAGGCAGGGCTTAGAGCAGCTCTGCGTGCCCATACCTCCTAGGAAGCAGTTGCCTACAGGCTGCGGGGCAGCCTCGGGAAGCTGCACCACAGAAGAGCCCATCCATCAGTCAGTAGAAAGAAGAGCTCAATGCAGAGCCAGAACTACGGCCATCGGGCTCAGTCCAGCCTGAGCCAGCCAAAATTACCTTGGATGGCCATCAGTGCAGTGGTGTGTGCCTGCCTGGCAGCGTGGGGCTGCAGGAACTCTGAGGAAAGATTATTTAGTGCCCAGGGGAAAATAAGCGATAGCTCTGGTTATTTCTTTTGGATATTTTATTGTTTTCTTTATGTCTCAGGCAGGACTGCCATGGGTTTGCAAATGGAAATTTGCAAACGCAGCAGTGCAGCTGGATGCACGGCTGATTTGTCGGGGAGCCACCAGTTTGCTCCTTTTCCCTCAGTTATTTCTCTTTGCTAACTCCACGGGTCTCAAGGACACTGCTCAGTGGCAGGAATCCTACTTTCCACCTCTCAAGGCAATTACGAAGAGGAGCTGCTCATACTGCCACAGAGCTCAAGGGGCAAGGACAGCACGTCAAACCGGCTCCGCAACATCACCGCCTGCCTTCCCTGCAGAACACGAGGGGTGTCCATCTCCCAAAAGGAGGGGCCGTTCAACTTTGTCGACAGGTCTCGGGCGACAGAGCGAAGAACCACCGCCATCTTTTACTCACCTTCCTCTAAAGCCAACAAACACCAGCTTTACCAACCCTGCCTCTTTGGTTACGAGGTGCTGTATGATGCGGTACCTGCTCTGCCATGCTTCCTTAGGATTACCAAACCAGCCTTTTTCCTTGCCTTTGTTCCACAACTGAGCTTTCCTGAAATATTTTGCATTCCAGACTACCAAATCGCAGTCCTCTGCTGGGACTGCAACCATTAGCAGGCATCCCTTCTCTAAATAGAAACTACAGCTATAGAGTATCCAAAAAATGATGGCTTACAATAAAAAGCTGTCTGTGCTTTGCTGTCTGACACAAGTCACTTCACAGAAGCACTGCTGGAAATGTTTACGTTCCGTGTTCAGTTGCCCCTGTTTCACTAAGCCTTTTCTAGATCCAAACCCATCAGCCCCCCAAAGTTTTGACTGGGTCATCTCAAGAGACCACAAACATCCCCTACAGACCTTTGTCTCTTTCAAAATACATACAGCCAGAAACGAGATGATTTTTCAACCTACATTTTTTCAGAATCAGGTAAAGAAAACCCTAAGACCAGCCTCTTAACAGCATTGTGTCTTTCCAAGCTAACCCAAATGCAGGGGATCATTCTTTATTCATCAGGAACATGCCCACAGCAGAGCAGGAGAGGATTTGGAATTAGCTACCTGGCAAACAAGTTGCACAGTTCTTGTTCTCAATAGAGAATTGCCTCCCTCTCACTGCCAGAAAGCACATAATTTCTTTACCTGCTAATATTCCTTGCCACTAATCCTCAGTGCGTCTGTCCAGACAAGTAGGCATTACACATTCCATTGGCAGGAGGAGAATAAATACTCAACTTGTCTGGGCTGACCCACAGCAGAGAAAGGAAGCCGGCATTTCACAATGCCAGTAAGACATGCCTGCGCTAAGAGATACACTAAGAGGAGTGGGGACAGACTCTGCTTAACACACAAGCAAATGCATCTCCTTTGCGGTTTAGTATCATGGAAGAGCTAAAACGTGCTTTTCACAGCTCCACGCACTGGCATCTCAACAAATCAAAGAGCAGACCAACCTGCCCCTGATCTGTCACAGCAATTAGGTCGCAAAAGGTCAAGGTTTTTAATAACTCAGCCGTGTTTGGGGCTACTTATTACTGCTTCGTTCCAGTCAATTATTAGTAATGAGTAAAACACAAGCCCATTCTTCCAGGAACTCCAAGAGGGATGTAGGCACTGTGGAAAAAAATTTAGCCCTTAAAACTAAACCTAAGACACACTGTCAGAGATCCTCCCCATAGGCCATTGCTGAACCACATCCAGAGGAGAAACAGATGCTGAGGAAACCCAGAATTAGACTCTAACTTAATAAAACAGAAAAAACCCCAACAACCTATTGCCCTAACAGCCTCCAGCAACAGGTGATTACAGCGCGCAGACAGGCTCAGCCTGGACCCACGTCCAGCAACCAACTCCATCAGGAGCAGATGGAGCCGATTGCTGGCTGTGCGCTAACCAGACCCAACACCCCTGGGGAGGGAGCACCCACCTGAGGAGGAGAGCTGGAGTTCACATTGTCTTTTGGTGGGCTCAGGGAAGGCGCTTCTCCTTGAAAACCGCTACTGTTCTGTGGCTGACACAGTTTCCTGAAAAACAGAATTTAGGGCTGTTCAAATCCCGTGCTTGACAACCCAACAGATGGTATTTCAAATCTTCCTGCAGAGCAAAGAGTTTTTTGTGGGCTCAAATTCTGACTGCTTGAAGATGCCATGGAAGCAGCTCGTTTCGGCACTTAGAGTTTTGATCTCAAACAAAAATCGAGGAAGAAGAAACTCCTAAATATCAATATCAATAGCGCACCAGGTTTGCCCTACTCTACTGACACCAGCCAGATTGCCCGTATATTAATCACCCAGGAAAAAAAAAAAAAAAACCCACTACTGTTGCATCAAGTTGCAGCTGTCAAGCTGGAAAAAAAAAAATTCAAGGTTAAAGGTTTTAATAAACTAGCTCTGCAGTCATTTTGTCACCAGCTGTACAGCCTAAATAAGCAACGTCTAAATTCTTCCACAAGAAGCTATAATCAGCTTTAAAGCGCGCACATATTTTTCAAACATTGGGAAGATTATTTCAGAGATAAAGCCCACGACTTCACAAGATTTTCTTTTAACCTGAGCTTGAACCTTCAGCCATATTGCAGCAACATTTAGACGCCTGCAGTTTCACCGCCGTTCTGGCTTCAGTTGCTGCTTTGTTTAATTTTTATTTAGAACAATCTCAACAGCCACGGATCAACTCAAGAAAAGTACTCAGCGACTGTGAAAACAGGAAGGGCAACAGCGATATTCCACAAACACCGCAGCGAAAGTGGCTTTCTGGATGCTGTTTGACTAGACTGAGCAACCTTGTCACATCTCCTAACATGTTAATTATGGATTTAAAAAAAAGTGAATGAAAGACGATGACTTTCAATCCAGCAGCTCTCGTAACAGCAGAAAAACATTTCACTACAGCAGTGAAAGAATAATGGAAAACACAAATAATGTGAGGAAAAATGAGTTAGTCTACCACGGGCACCGTGAAATATAGCTTTTAGTATTTGCAGATGTGCTAATTATTGCAGCCGATGAACCATCGAGTGGCAACCGGACCTGAAAACCGAGAGGACATTTAACAATTGGCTGGATCTAGGCAACCACGCAGACTGCCACAGCCAGCTACGTAAAGTCCTACGTCTGGTGCCTGTGCCCTTTTTGTGAATGTTTTTCTACTGTCTTCAACCCTACATGTTTTTTCCATTTTGTAGCCTCATTACCTGCATTGGCTGAGCGGGTCTTTGTTTGTACAGTTGAATACATCCTTTCCAAGGTCTATTTTTAGACCTTCGCATAACTGAATGCCACAATTCTAGAAAAAGCAGTAAACATTGCTTTCTACAGGGAGAAATTAACTTTTTTGAAAGCCATAAAGATTGCATGGCAGTTGTATTTTTCCATTTAATTATAATGCAACATCAAGGCCATTTAAACGAGTTTGATTTTTCTTTAGCACGCCAGAGCACTTTAAGTGCAAGTTTCTGTTGGTTTAACAAAGTCTCATCTCCAAGCCAATCGTGCTTTCAAATCATGGAAACTGTTCAAACAGAGCATGCTCTACTTAATCTTAACCAAAAGCACAGTAAGTCTCAAAAACAAGTCAGGTAAAATCTCTATCTGCATTACAAAACCTGTACCAAGTCAGTACAAACACTATGAAAACCCAGAGAGGGAAATAGAAACCCTCAGAGCAGAATTCTCCTTTAGGAACCTGGGAGATACGTTCTCTTTCCCCACTGCCTGCCAGCTAAGAGCTTCCGGGCTTGGAGGCTTCACCTAAGGAAAAACATCTGTAGAGGAAAAAAGTCTTTAGCAACCAACAAGACAAAGCTATCATCTCCGCTAACTCTGTTAAGCGCTATTTTCAGGAAGGAACATGAGGACAGGTATCCCCTGGACAGTGGGGATTACACTGGATGGGCAGCAGGACAACCAGCATGACTGTTAGGGAACTTATCTCTACAGAACCGCCTCCCGCTTCTTCATGCATCCCTTACTTCAGTCGAACATTAATCTTGCAGGGCAACCGTGATCTTAACAGACTTTGCAACACAAGAAAAACACCCAAGTAAACAAAACATCCAAATAACGCTACAGAAATTAAGCAGCAAAGTCTCCAAAGCAAACAGCTCAAGAGGAACAGGGACATCCACAGGAACAGAGCACAGAGGCAGCTGAGCGAGACAGCGAGGGGACACGGCTGCACGGTAACGTCTCTCTCCTTGCCTTGAACAAACACAGCAGTCTGCACAGGAAGCCATGTGCAAGAAGATATAGAAAAAGGAAAGCAGAGTTTCAATGGAGAGTTGAGCTGGACCCATTCACCTTAATCCATACATCTCCCAAGATTTTAAACTACCATTAACTTTTAACTGTAACAGCTTTTGCTCCCCATCCAGCTTTTTCCTGTAGCTTTTAGGATAACGACTTAAAGGCAACCTAGGACGATCTGAAGAGCACCTCCACTTTGATATTCAAGTTTAGTCAACTTGTACAGCTGCCTGGATGATCAACAGATTTACTTTATGTTAAAATAAGTCACGCACTCAACTTACCATCGTTCTACCAACTCCAGTTACCCTGGTTTATCATAACTGACCTGGCCCAGTATTGCCAAGCTCCAGATAATATTACAGAGAAGATGGAATAATTACCGAACAAGTATCCTCTTCAGCAACTGCTGATCTCCTTCAGAGTAGCCAGGCCAGTCCTTCTGCACTTCTTTGTATACGCAGTCTTTCAGTGTGAAAGTGCTGTCCTTGGCACTCAAATTTGCCACCTGAAACAAAAGGAATTTGCAAAGAACTGTCAGGGTTTAATTTTCTCACTTGTTCCAACAGAAGAGATCTAAGATGTAGGCAAACCCTCAGCAGACTTAGCAGCAGTTAGTAGTGTCAGAGAACAAGTAGAGACTTTATACCTCATTTCCTAGTTATTTAGATTATTTCATCAAACTGTGCCTTTCCTTTTGCCTCGTCATTGCTATAGTTTATTACGAGTTTCCAAAGCATATCCAATTTACTGGGAAACAAGTGATATCTAAACAGATTATTCAGCTTGGATAGTCTGCAACAGTACAGTGACAGTTTATGGAAATACCTGGAAATAAACCCTAGTGGGAACAGGCAGTTCAGTTATCGCACCTGTCCGACAGCTAAAATGGGGCGGCTTTATGAGCTGCGAGAGGAACTCTTGCGGCGATAGCTTAGTTAACAATTGCCAGAAGAGAATTTCTCGCTAAGGCGGCAGTAAAACAGGAGACAGAAAGCTACTTTCTCAAGGAGCGGCGAAGAGAATGCCTTGCAGACAGACTGCATTAGGGAGCTTGCAGATTACACCGTGCAGTTCAGGGCATCAGGATCATCCGCTGGATTTCATGGAGGAGAACTTTTCCGAGGACTACTGCAGGGCACGAACAAAAACCTGTGATTACCAGCTTATAACGCAGGGTTTTAAAATAAAGCATGGCGCTGAAATCACAGGCTGTGGCTCGCTCGGTACGCTCGCATGAGAAGCTTTGTGACATTTTATCCAATTCTATTGTGTGTAGTTTCCCCACAAAACTCTGCACGGTGCCTACACAGATAGGAAACACTGCTGGAATGGGCAGAATCGTATTAGAATGGAAACAACTTGTTCAGAGTTTTCCCACTTTAAGGTTTTTCCACAGCTTGACTGAAAAATTTTAACTTCTTGCTGCTGGTTACGCATCTGAAAGACAACGGCAGCACAAACCAAAAAGCCCCAATTAAGCTTTCCCAGATACTGCCTTAGTGAACCCTTCTTTGGTGGTTGTAGAGCACTGCGAGTTTAGAAAGAAAACCAAGCCTTAAATCTGGTTTTATAAAAGGGATACGGAGGCAGAGGTACCAAATGCTATGCCCACAGCCAGGCTGACCAAGCGGCAAAGCCAGCGACCGCGTCCCAGATTCACTGCTTTACCGCTCAGAGTTTGACGACCGTATTACGCTTGAAGCTGGAAGATGCTTTTATTCAGTCAGTGGAGATACCGTGCATCTGTTTAAGGATTAGTGTTCTCCATTGCTCGCTCCATTCATGAGATGGTTGTGCTTACGAGTTTCTATTATCCGTGCGGCAGTAAGATAGTCTCAGAAAAGCAAGTGAAGGAGCAGAAAACCTTGAATTAACTGAAGACACTGTTAATTCCTCTGCTTTTGCTTTAGGGAGACTATGACCCAGTATTAAAACCCCATGAATTTAAAAGCAAAAATCTGCAGAACTAATACAGCAAAGCTCTCCTGATAAGCAAAAAATAAAAAGCGCAGTTATCAGTTTACATGATGAACACTTTGTTTTTCCTTTCAGTTCTGTCAGCTTTCCAAAATCCTGAGCCAAAATACAAGAAGAATTTGAGCTGTGTTTTACATTGAGATATCCCAGTAAACATGCCCAAGAGACAAAAGCAAAGCCAGGTTCTTTTTCAAAAACTCTCCGAGAATCTCTCCGGTTACTGCCTCTTTCTACAGCGGGAGGCACGCTGCTCCTCAAGGCTTGTAGCCCAGGCAGAAGAACAACTCCTGATTTTCTCTGCACAGAGGCTGAGAGCTGCTACCTCCTTGTTTTGCTGGTGTGGGACTCTGCAAGCTCCACCCCAGGCCTCCCAAAAATAGAAACCTTGCAAAATGAGGCAAAAAGGCCAGCAGGAACACAAAGTCCTACGAGAGATGCAAGAGCACAATGAAACCCACACCTAGACAGATTTAGACATGTCGCTTTAATGCAGCCTGTAATTTTTAGCTTATCTGTGTCTGCTCGTGGATGGTAGCCCTGGTAGCTACTGAAAGGAGATTAAGTTTACGAGCAATACTTTTACAGCCAAATCAGCATTTAGCCCCATCAGGCTGACACCGTGGACCTGGCCGTATGCACCAACCTGCCTGCTAGGGGTTTGTGAGAGCATCAATAAAAGGTGATTACCAGAAACGGTATTTCTAGCATGAAACTTATTTCTAGTGTTCAGAAGGGTGCTCGAAAGAATTCTAGCACTGCTGGAAAACGAAGGGCTACAGGATTAAAATCTAGGGAAGGAGCAAGTTGTGCCAGCAATAACTTTGTTTTCAATACGACCTGCCCTGTGCCCTTGGGCAAGATAACTCCTCGCTGTCTCGTTCTTTTCAGCTATACAAAGGAGTTAAAAAAAAAAATCCAATACAGAAGAGCAGCATTTAAATAAATATCCATGATGTGTTTTGCATGGCGAGAGCAATAAAGGTATTCACTGCGATTCCTAAAATGGCACCTTCAACATGACTCAAAGTGTTAACAACTGATTCAGCTTGGAGACAGCTTTCATGCTTGACATACAAATAATACGCTCTGCAAGAAGCCGCGTGATCTTCACACCTAACCAGTTGCACTTCTAAGCAGGAAAGGCAGAACAATACAAAGATGATGTAAAGCTTAGCGGGGAGGGACATATTTTTACTTTCACAAAGGAAACATGACACGTATCAATAGAGAACATGTTATTTACGTCCACGTTAATAGAAATATATATAGATGTATAGGTTATAACAAATCAAACAGCTTGTAGACCCCCTCTTACATAATTCTCCCCACGACCAACCAGAAGCGTTCCTCTTAAAGAGACTGATCTGGTGAACCAAAATCATACAGCTTAGTAGCATACACCAAAACCGAGGCATATACACGAGAGGCTTCTGCTACCTCTAGCAGAACAGCAACGTGAATTGTGAACTTCTGTCGGACACGGCCTTCAGAGAAACATTCAGCTGCAGCTTTGAGACACACAGGTTACGTTCAGACTAACACAGAAGGTACGACCGTTCTGAGAAGACGTTTCCTTTTACCTAAATTGTGGCCTTCATCAGAGTACAAACCTGTTGCAGAAGGTTGTCCAGCAAATCCTTGTCCTGCTGAGAAAGTCCATCCTTCTGCAATCTGAGAATAAGTTCAGGTTTCTTATAAGGCTTTAGTGCCAGTAAGTGCACAACCCTATCTTTGAAGGGTCTCTGAGAAATTGCACTATTGCCTCTCTTTATTGCACTGGCAAGGTTGACTGGCGTTGGGCGCTTCCTGGAGGGAACAGCATCGGAAGCTCCTGGTGCAGGTTTACGCACCTGAACCTTTTTGCCTAAAATGAGATGAGAATAGTGAACTGCAGCAGTCACCTTGCAAAGGCCAGTGGTCTGTCAACATGTATATGGAGTTCATTACACCAGCTGAAGTGCCAGAAGATGACAATGAAGGACAAACACAACCAGCACACACCATCCGTTCCGATACGCCGTCGGAACGAGTATCCTCTGAGTTTTATGATTCGTGACAAGCCTGTAACAAGTAAACAGCAACACCAAGCTCTGGAAACCTGAGTATTATTGGCCACCAGCTTACATAAAGCTCTCTTTGTTTGCCAGCTTTTCATTTATCCCAAGTGCATGTATCCCCATGGTTAATCTAACCATTTTTTTCCCCTCCCTATGAGAAGAAAAATCTGCATTATTATGTAGAAGAGTCGAAATATGGAGTGGAAAGACCAGAACTGGTCAGCGAGTGGCTCCCTGCTGCTGATCTCAGCAAAAACGCTACTCCAGCAGATGTTTCTGCTTTTAGAACAATAGGAACTTTATGGGGCTGGGTCCACCTCCCTTCCCCCCCGCCAAACACAGCCACATGCACGGGGTCTAACACCGATACATTAGCCTATTCATTAGCGCGCTGTCTATTCTAATAGAGTAAGCCCTTCTACGCTGCAGCAGTAACTGCTTCACCCTCCAATTACAGTTATGTATACACGAGAACATAAAGCTGTCTCAAAAGTTCATCTTGAGCCCTCAGAGGCAGCTTCCTCAACTCTGTCCCAAATGTGGTTCTTGGTTTCTGACAGCATTATACAAGAATTCATTTTCCCATTCCTACTGAAAAACAGCTTTAACTAGAACCCTCGCAGAAGCCCCGTATCACTTAGTAAAGAGCAAATCAAGGAATTTTACTATTCTGAGTACAGAAACAGGTCACAAAGCCAGGTTCCTGCTACTAAAGGCAAAACCAGCAAATCAAAAAAAGAAAAATTTGTAGGTTCCAAGGTCTAAAACATGGAAATGCAATCAATAATCACTTGGGTTCAAGAGAGTGACCTTCACTAGGACAAACATCCAGCATTTACTGCAAGAACTTTGGAGGTTTATTTCAGCACGGCAGTTCGCCACTGCTAGGAAGCAATGTTTTCAACTGAGTCATCTGAAGATAGTGGTGATTGTCTGCAGTGTTTATTTTACTGAAATGTAGATTGCATAACCGAGTCCCCATTTCCTGGCTTTTTATTACACACCACACTGATGCAAGCAAGTACGACCCCTCGTCGGCAGGGCTGAGTTAGGACGAGAGGGAGAAAAACAATTCGCACGTTAAACATCCCAAAATCCAGAGGTCAACTGGACTTCATTTCCAGAAATGGGACAAGAGAAGATTCGTCAGATTTCTATAATTCCCTTAACTCTTGCCAGGTCATGAGCAGCAAAAACAGATCGGGACATTTCCACTTAAGGCTAGAGCCAAAATGTGCAATGACAGGAAAAGAAAAAACTGAAGTTAAGCCAGAACATGAAGTCTTTTAAAATATTTATGTATGTGCATAGATATAGATGTATGCACACACCCCCTTAGTGTATATATAAGCACCCATTACCCCCCTACAGCTGTATCATCTATCTATTCACATATATATATTTGTTCAAGTGTAAGTTCACATCTATACTGTCCCGTTGATCTCCAGTTTCAACATTTCATATAAATTCTTCCACATCTGAGCTGCCTGGAATGACTCCACTGACGTTTTAAGTGCTGAGCTCCGTGTTCTCATGGAAATGTGAGAGCCAGCCTTCTCCCTCCAGACCAGCCTGCAAGTGCATCAGCTGACGGTGCTGGCACACCAAATATGTGCGTATCCCACAGGATGACTGTCCTTGCCCAGGCTCTCCCTTCTTGGACCAGTGCTTTCCTCCTGCCTTAAACACTGACATCTTATATGTGCAGCATGCACTCCACTCCACTGCTTTTTACGTGGTTGTAACTCCATTTCAGAGCGGTAAACGCTTTAGCAGGAGTATTTTTAAATTAAAAGTTTTGCTCTATCTTTCCGGGAAGGCACTTTGCTTTGAGAATCTTCTCCCTCACAAGCTGAACAACTTCATCCACTTACTGTAATGTTCTCAAATATAAGCTAAACAAAATAATCTTCTAGTCTACAGGAAATCAATGCATTTCCTTCCTGATTACTATCTTATTTCTCAGCTTTGAGCGCTTGGCTGATAAAACAATGAGTCAGGGTCAGTTCTACATTTTGCAACTCACCATTCTCATCACAGACATCCTCTAAGAAGAGACTGGCTACAGATCACGTGGGCTGCAGAAAAAACAGCTGGCTCAAAAAACCCCCTGCCCCTCTGCTTTCTGGTTAATATTTGTGCCCTAAGTTTGTGATCAGACTGAGCTTAATTTAAGCAAGGACCTGAGCCCAAAGCTAGGTCTCTGCAGGCTCCTTCTGGAGCCCACCGATATTTGCCAGAGTCTTATTTCCTCCCCTAAGATTCTCCTTTCATCGTCACACTAAGATGGTTTGTTTAAGGCTGCAGTCGGCAGCGCTGCTTTAGCCTCTTTGTTTATTAACACAAGCGCTCCGCCATCTGCGTTTTAGATGTTGCATGTCATGGTCCCAACTGCAGGCACATGCCAGATGTGACACAACAGTGGTGGTACGTTTTAACCCACTTCTGATGGATCAGCAGCATGCTCTCAGCATCGTGAGTTCAGACATAATGACATATGACAAATGTGAAATAACGCCAGAGCGATGTGACTGCACACAATCCTCAGAGGTCACGCAAAATTAGACTAAATATAAGGAAGAAATTCTTTACAATGAGGGTGGTGAAACCCCGGAACAGGTTGCCCAGAGAGGGGGTGGAGGCCCCATCCCTGGGAACATCCAAGACCAGGTTGGACGGGGCTGTGAGCAACCTGATGTGGTTCAAGGTGTCCCTGCTCCTGCAGGGGGGTTGGGCTGGGTGGGCTCTGGGGGTCCCTTCCAGCCCAAAACATTCTACGATTCTATGAAATACCACCACACGTGTCCTAGTGTGAAGATGGAAGCCAGGAAGAAGTCACAATATAAGGAGAGTAGCACCCTAAGGAGTCAGGCACTCCTAAGGAACCACCACATACTTGTTAAAGACTTTCACAGGCAAGCGAAACAAACATCAGCATTTGACTTCAGAAGCTACTGAAGACACCCCCAAATTGAGTCGCTGCTTACCTACGTATCTGCCCCCAGGTTTAATGACTATAGCGCTGCGGCTGCGAGTCTCCTCCTCCGCCTGTGCCATGCTTTGCCTTGCCTTCTGGTAGGAATCATCAGTAGCACACACGGTGATTTTATCTTGTATGCTTCCAAGGCAATCCAAGTGGATATTGCCGTTGCTGCAAAAGAAATGCAATGGAAAAGATACTCCCGACACTGCAAATGGGCACATCTCTGTCACTGGTGAGTAACTGAGGTTGCGTTATCTAAATAATAGGGGACAGAAAAAAAGCTGAGAGGTAAACAGATTCTTCTGTGAGTGCGTCCTTAGCAAATATACACATGCAAACAGATTAGGAAGACTCTAAAAAAGAAAGAACATGTTTTGTTCAGGTTTGTTAGGGAAAAGATTCTACAGAAGATATTAAAAAAAAAAAAAAAAAAGACTAGATTTTCTTTTGCTGTACCACTCACCTAGACACATACTGCTGGATACAGTCAAAACTCCCTTGGGGGCTGTCCTTGCCAATATTTGAAAGATAAAATGTGAAAGTACGCACTTCCGTAGGTCGATCAGGCCTTGGAATTGCGATGTGCTGTTTGGAAGGAGAAAAATATTGGTCACTTGGGTAGCCCACACTAACACAAAATTCAATTTTTCGGCAGTCTCTATGCTTTATAGCCATTTTGCAACCCACTACGAGTAAAGCATATGGATTACTGCATAGGAGACTACGAAGAGCAAGAAGCTACAAGAAGGATTCGAGTTAGCAAAACTTCACGCACTGAAAAGATACGGTAACAGAGGTAGAGGGATCGAAAGAACAGCTAAAATGACAGCTATGTCTGTAACAGAACAGGGATCCGAGCGGGCCGCTTGCCGCCTTTCAAACCGGAGCCCACAATAATCTTGTTCTAGGAATCTGACCCAATTCTATTGACTCAGGCTCAGACTTGCTACCACTCTTTATATTCAATTTAAAGCACTTGAGACTTGTTTCTTTAGAATTAGTGATCCAGCACTAAACATAGTACAAGCCAGGTCACTAGGTAGCATGCTTATTCTTTTTTAAGATATTATAATTCCATAACGAGATTTCATGGCTCACAGTAGAGTGTGACGCTGCTGCTAAATTAAATATTTAATCAAGCATTAAGTGTGCTCCACAGACAACTCTACAGCGATCTGCATTGTTTTTCTCCCCCCAGCCATTCATTTTTCAAAAGGGAAACTGTTTCCCCTCTGCATTCAAGATCCAACATAAATCTCAGCATCTGAGCTCTACTATCACATCAATATTTGATAATTAAGATGGCTTCCAGAAAATGAGACAGAAGGAACATCAGCTTCAACCTATTTTAGGCTACGCTCTACCAACCACACAGATTTATATTTACCCAGATTGCCACATATATGCACAAAATATATATGCCTAGCAAACCGACTCGTGGCATCCACATATGACTGTGCTCCATGAAAGATTACTGCTGGTACAGAAGGGTTTCTAGGTGGTTTCCCTTTGACCTCAGACGTCTACAGCAGCCTGGAAACCCAGTGCATCTGTGCCGCTTTGCTAAACCACAGGGACGTTCTTAGAACCGGCAAGAAATGCTTGTGTGACCCGCACCGAGCTGAGCCAGTGCAGCATTTTCCATTCGCTCTCTGGAAAGACCAGCTATCCTGCAGCCAGCCCTTAAAACAGACTTCCCTTCTTTCGAAACGGCAAACCAAGGAACTCAGACTTGAGTGATACAGGAGGACGAGTTATCCCCCGCACAGTCCCAGGATCCGGATCTAAAAATACTTGGAGCAGATTTGGTGGCGATCCGGGCGCCGATGGGCAGCGCTGACCCTCCGGCAGCAGCAGCTGAGCCCTGTTATCTCCCCTGCCAAACGTGCGCCGGCAGCCTTGAGCCCTTATAATCTGTCCCAGCACCCTCTGCCCCCACCCATCCAGAACAAATAAAATTCTCTTCTGCTTTACAAGCGAGCTGCAAATATCCACAAAGTCAAAGTTATGTAAACAGTAGATTGTGGGTATTTTACAGTTGGCACCGCTCACCCACTAGTTAATGTGCTGGGAACGGGGCAAGAAGGTAAAATGCAATGGGTCTCTTCAGCTTCTAGTGCTGTCCGTTGGGGGAACGAGTTGTGCTGCACACGATGGGTTTGTAAAATAAAATCCGAAGGATGTAACCAAATCATATATTCGCATACTAAACCAACTTGCTTCTAGCTTCTCGTTTACCATTGGAAAAAACGCTGCTCTGAGAGCCCCAACTTTGGCATTTTTGTAGTTTCTGCAGCTTCTTCAAAGGATGTAAAATGAGACAGAAGCTAGAGAGCTGCTTCAGTGTGAGACGTTGCTCGTTCCAGTACTGAAAAGTGTAGCATATGCAAACTGGCCGTTATCTAGGAATTATTTTTAGCTGAAACAGAAGGTTTCTCAAGCCACCAAATCAGCATGGTAACTGCTTTGAGGGAGCCCTAATTTTGGTGCCGAGTATTACACCAGTAACCATAGACACTTAAAAATAGCTCAGTACAGATGTTACTTCTGTATTTTTTTTTTCTTTCAAGTAATATTCATCTGTGTACAGCTCATTCTGAATGGCAATTTCACCTTCCTCTATTAATACCAGCATAAGTTCATCCCAAGAAACAGGGGAAAATGTTGTATTTTCCAATCGCGTAACGTTAAGACATTTTGTTCCTAACAGTCATGTTTAAGAAAGCTGCACAGACGTACGGGTATTTGGCACCTGAAGGGTTTTTTTTCCCCCCAGTTCAGTTCTTTCCCCACTCTCCCCATCTCAGGTTCCCCCCAGTAAGCACCTGCAAATTTGCCCCAACCGAATCTCTAATTCTGCAGATGCTTTTACTGAAACAGAAGCATCTTCAGCTTCCACTCCAGCCACCACTGTAACACTTTGGTAACTCAAGCTCTTTAATTCATTTCAATGCACGTTGAAACAAGGAAAAATGCTCTAGATTCCATATAAACTTACAAAAGTGTCCAAGAAAATCCAGTTCATGGTGAAAAAGTAATGAACAGATGCTGCTCTAAGGAACATCCAGATAGTTCTGCTTTAGCATCCCAAAGCAGAGCAACTCCCCGCTAATTACAACCTATCGCAATTCTGATTATGGCACTGAAAAAGTATTTAACCAGACCAGCATTGCTATGAAGAAATGCATCCCAAGGCAAAGACCATTTACAGTCCACAGTTCGTAAGAACTCTCATGAGATTTGATCCAGACCAGGATCCATGCAGGAGGTTTCGTTCCCTATCACCGAAACGGCTGTTTTATTTTGGGCTAGAACCACCCACATCCTCCTTTCAGCACCTGGCCGGCAGAGCTGCCACCTTGCTGACCCCGTGTTTTATTCCTGGCCAATTCCCTTCTCTGGTTAGTTAGAATATTAACCATGGAAGGTTTTTTTTTTTTTCTATGTATTAGAAGCTGATAGTATCCTTGACAGCATTCATTAGACTAACACAGGGAATGGGTAAAAAAGACATGGACACAGTAATTTAAAAGCACCGCAAATAATGAGACTCAACAGGTCAGGAGGCTTCTAGAGAGCCACATTAAGTTAAGGAAGCAGTATTTGTTTGAAACTCTTATTTTGTATCTTGCTTCCCCCAATAATCAAATATTTCTAAGTTTTTCCTTCTTGCAAGAGGGATATTTATACAGAAAAGTCACGCTATTAAAATCCTGTATCACTGGACGCTGCTTTAAATCACACTCTGGCATTTGGGCTCCGTACAAAACCTACCACCCTCCGAAGTTAATTGGAAATCTTCTCCATAGCAACATTTATTAGGAAGCAAAATAGAAAGCAACAATTTGGGGAATTAAGGTATAGTGGAAGAAAGCGTATTCCAAAAATAAATAGCTAAACAAATATGTTTTAATGGCATCATCTGAATTTGAGAACTTGTTAAATTATCTTTGTGGTCCGATTGATAGGAGGCTCCCTAGGAAGTTCTGCCGTGAGTTCCTTAAAGCAGGGCACAATCGTGACACATACGAGTACTACACTTAAAAACAGATGGTTCCGCAGCTGCCAGCTTCTTGTCATACCCAGTAAAAATAATAATAAAAGGACAAAGAGCTCTTTCTATCAGCCCCAATTGAACTGGATCTCGCTTTCTTCAAAGCTCTACCTTTGGCCTTTACTCGACAGTGCAATTAATTAAACAGCTGAAAATGAGGCAAGCAGAGGTCAGCTCTGTGCTGCCAACATCCTCCTTCCACCCGCAACGCCCCAGCGCTGCTCACACTGCGCAGGGCTCAACGCTTCGCTCTTTCAACGGCAACACCAGACCCAACCGTGCCGCTTGGCTCCTTTTCCATTCAACCCGGACTGTAATCACAGGTGACTCCCAGCTCTTTCACCAAAAACTCTTCTCTGGAAGTTAAGGGCTCAAATATACTTAAGTGCATTAAATACTTATTTTTAATTTTTATAAGGCATTGCGTAATATTTTTAATTATTATAAAGAACAGCATAATTTTAAAAAATAGGTTTTCTTTTGGTTAACCTGAAAATGCCCGAGCCCGTATCAGATCCGTGTAAAACCCACCACAAGCAGAGCGCAGTGGCTGAGGGCAGTGGAGCATTTTGAGCTGTTCTGATTCATTTTGCTACCTTTCCTTCGAGGAAGAAAATTAAGAGAAGAGGCATTTCTAGAACTTAAGCAGCTTTACAGGAAGAGTTGGGTGTAGATCCTCCCAAGGCGCTCTAAAAAGTGAAAGGAAAGCATTTGCAGTCTTTTTAGCTTCTTCACTACACACAAAGCTGTTTGCTCATCCGATAGCAACAAATCATGCACCCTTAAAAGTTCTCCTTGTCGCTCGCTTCTAATTTTGCCAAACTTCAGTTGCAGATTTTTATCTGAGCTTTCATGCTGAGCTCTCTGGGAAGTTTAATTGTAAACAAAGTAAAAAACCTGGAAATTGCTCCTTTCTTTATTTCCCAGGACGAAAATGGTTGTATTTTTCTTTTTAACTTAAGATAACAATCATGTCTTTCCGGCTATGTTTTGTTAGAGTACTATGTGCTATTAGTGAGACTAACATCACAAGGTAAAATATGGGCACAGAAAAGCATGCTAGACTTTAATGCCTGCTTAATTCAAGCCTTTTTGAATTAAGTTTTACTGTGCCACCACAAAAAATTAACAAGTTTTTATGGCTGAGTTCAGATTGTTGAAAAAAAAAAAAAAATTAGAATTCCCCTTCCTTATGCAGAGCACCAACGTTAGACACGCAGGTTTTTGTATCCAAAAGGTATACAAATGGCATTTTTGAAGTTCACTGAAGAGTTGCATTACTTTACCACAAACACTACCAATTAAATCTCAACGTTGTCAGTAACTGGTGTGACAGACGGTTTCTATAAATATCTTGGAGGAGTTCAGGCATCGGAACAGAAGTTAGAGAAATAAAACTCCTAAATATAAAAAAAACCTTTTGGTACTCACAGAAGCTGCAGAGCTGTTTAGACATGCGTATTAAATAAAGCTTCAGTACATTCGTAGCAGCCTCCAAGCACTGCTACTGTAAATAACTGCTACCCGTAAAGCCTTGCACCAAGTTTACCAGGCTTGGCATGGCGTTTCCTCGGGACGCAGGCGAGTTTTCCATGGATTGCTGTGCCCACCACTGTGCTGCCATCAGGGAACTTCCCGTTTCCTTGTTCTACCCAACAGCATGGCTGTATAAAACTAAATTTCACCACCAGCAACACTGGTGGTGCTGGTGCTATGGATTTAGGAAGGTTAGAAAATAAAGAGGGAGGGGAAGGTTTCTATAGAGAGATGATCCATAAAAAACTCTTTCCTGGACCACGTCTGAACTTCCCATCTCTCCCTTTCAGAAACGAGAGCATCAGGCTTTGAACTGGAACAGGACAGACGTACAGAACAAATAAAGATATTAATTGTATAAGCCAGTACTTTCCAAGGCAACCCAAGTACAAACTTACCCCTTGGCTTCCTTGAAACTGGATTACTGGTTTTGATGTCACAGCATCCTACAAAAACAAGAGGGGGAAAAAGAAAATTACCTTAGAGAAATTTAAAGCTCCAACACTCACTGCCAAAAAATACTCGGCTTGATTTTTCACCTATGCTTTTCACCTTTTCTTTTTTTAAAGGAAAAAGGTTCAGGGAAGTATACAGAATTCCAAGCAAGAAAATACAAAAACTCCTGAAACGGTGATTTGTACCTAGAAAAGGGATAAAACTGTAACGTCACCAGTGGCACCCTTCCTTCAGAAAAAGAACAGCCCTGAAATGATACCCAGACGGGCTTGTGCTTAGCTCCTTCCTGACCCCTAAACCACATTTCAGGCACCGAGTAGTTCAGCTGTGTATGGGCTTATGTAAGCTTGGAGTTAAATGGTGGATATTTGAGGGGAAAATTTATTACAGTTCTAGGGCTGAGAACACGCTAAGCAAATTTTTTCCAATAGAAAGCTGGCAATTCATTGGAAAAGCAAACTGTAACTTCATTGCAAAATACTGTTGTTACGCTGCCCATTTCAACAATCGGCCTTTTCCTCCATCCGAATTTGCTTACATTTCAAGAAGTCATGCTCCTGCTAGCTCTAAAAACCCCTTAAACCTGCTCAAGGCAGAAACACCACTGAATTTCAGCCTTTTTGCACTGCGATGGCACTTTCCACTTTGCTGTGATTTGACAAAGATCACGAAGGCTTTGGAATTCAAACTCTTACCTGAGGTTTCAACTCTAGGGAAAGAAACAACAAACGCAATCCAAGCCACGCTAAGTGCTTATTTCTTAAATTTCTGGAGGATTGTGGCGGTTTAGAGAAATTTAAAGCTCCAACACTCACTGCCAAAAAATACTCGGCTTGATTTTTCACCTATGCTTTTCACCTTTTCTTTTTTTAAAGGAAAAAGGTTCAGGGAAGTATACAGAATTCCAAGCAAGAAAATACAAAAACTCCTGAAACGGTGATTTGTACCTAGAAAAGGGATAAAACTGTAACGTCACCAGTGGCACCCTTCCTTCAGAAAAAGAACAGCCCTGAAATGATACCCAGACGGGCTTGTGCTTAGCTCCTTCCTGACCCCTAAACCACATTTCAGGCACCGAGTAGTTCAGCTGTGTATGGGCTTATGTAAGCTTGGAGTTAAACGGTGGATATTTGAGGGGAAAATTTATTACAGTTCTAGGGCTGAGAACACGCTAAGCAAATTTTTTCCAATAGAAAGCTGGCAATTCATTGGAAAAGCAAACTGTAACTTCATTGCAAAATACTGTTGTTACGCTGCCCATTTCAACAATCGGCCTTTTCCTCCATCCGAATTTGCTTACATTTCAAGAAGTCATGCTCCTGCTAGCTCTAAAAACCCCTTAAACCTGCTCAAGGCAGAAACACCACTGAATTTCAGCCTTTTTGCACTGCGATGGCACTTTCCACTTTGCTGTGATTTGACAAAGATCACGAAGGCTTTGGAATTCAAACTCTTACCTGAGGTTTCAACTTTAGGGAAAAAAAAACAAACGCACAAGCCACGCTAAGTGCTTATTTCTTAAATTTCTGGAGGATTGTGGCGGTTAACGGTTTTATTTCCTAAACTACACAAAGCGGTCCGAGATGGGCTACAAGACAGGTGGGATCCCTTTGGAAGCCTTCCATAGGGACAGGAGAATTTACCAATAGGTTGCAACATCAGTTAGGAGTGAAGACGTTGCCACACATATGGGAGACACGTTTCGATGGGAAAAACACTGAGAAGAGTTTAGGAGACAAAGTCTAAACAGCACCTTTGTGTTGTCCTTTTTGGATCACACTTCTCGTGTCTCCCAGCGTTATAAAGACCCCATTGACCGCCACAGGGTTATGGAGACATTTACATTTAGCAGCAAAAGAGTTAACAGCTTGAAAGCCCATTAAGTTTATCATCTCCCATAAAACCTTTCCAAATGCTTTCAGCCCAGGAGTGAAGAATCTAAGCCACAATACCCCGACATTAACGACAACAAAAAAAATCCCTAGCAAGAAAATACCGTTCTAGCGCAGAGGAATAAGCTCATACCATGACAGAGTCTTCAGAGCCTTTTAAGAGCCCATCCACTACGATTAAACAGATCTGCATCACACCCTACATCGTCAGGGGATATTTATGACTGTGAGTAAAGCCAGAATATGCTTGAAGCTGACAGCACTCGCTCCGCGTTGCATAGCGAGTTTTACAGACCTGAAACAACCTTTATAAAGAAACCATAAACAACATCTTGCTCTTCGTACAGAGATCACTGAATTCCTTGAGTGCCACGACATTGCATACCACAGCACACTGTTCATAGACAGACTGGCCAGCTTTTTGTTCACGGTGTCAGCATGTACTGTGCAATGTGTCCAGAAATTCATAGGAACATATTTGAGCAAACAAGCATTTGAAACATTAAAAAAATCTGGATAAAAAAAAACCAACCTCAGTGCGGCTCTTGGACAGCTGATTAAGGATTTGAGAAGTTCTGCGATTAATTCTGGAAAATTACTTAAGCGGAATAAAAAGGTAATATGAAGCACGTAAGCAGAGTAACGAGGCAGTAACAATACAAAAGTACTGTTACACAAATCAGGACAAGCTTTAATTACAGAACTTATAAATTCCCTAATCTACATACAAAATGGTTTGAAGTTAAGTGTGTTATCTCAAACTTTAAAAAAAAAATGAGCGTTTATGCGCATTAGATTTCCCTGAACCCCTGAAATACAGTATTGCTGTGCTCGCAGCTCTGCACGCCCGGGGGCTGCTGGGTTTTGTGATCTGCCACGCAGGAACGTCAGCGCTGTAACTCCTCGCCGCGCTCCACCGAAGGGATCGCAGGGAAGAGCTGGCTATCGGAGAGTCATGGCACGTTGTTCCCCTTTCATGGAGGGAAGGGGAAGGCTCTCGGCTTCTCAGCAACACCACCCATGCACCTACACAGGCATCGCTTCCCTTCTGCCGATGCCCGATTCCTTGGCTACAGGTTGTTTGAGAACGCTCATGGAGGAAGAAGGCCCCCCCCCTCCCCCCCAGCCCCCAATCTAATTAAGGACATGAATTTAAGTACTTCTGTTAGATGAAATTAAATTCCTACATGGACACCTTCATTCAGAATAAAAGCAAATAGATGAATTAAGCTAAACCAAATTAAAACCGTATTTCAAATTTGTATCTTCAGTTCATTTGGATTAACTTTCCTGAATGTTCTTGTATGGACAAACCCCAATTTTAAAGAGTCCTTGCTACCATTTCCAAACGCCCTCTGTCACCTTCTAAGGAGTCACCTAATTCTTCTTCCTTAGCGATGCCAGGACAGTGAACTTCCTTCCTCACAGCTTCCTAGAAATGCCGTCCCATCCACCCTCAGTGGGAACAAGGTCTTTCCCTCCTTCTGTCTTTCCTTCTCATAAAACCAAGTCATCTCCTTGGCCCTAGGACGGGACCGTGGTACTGCTGTGGGTACAAGTCTGCCTCCTCCAGAGTGCAACAACTTAAGGGGTTCAGCAACTCTTCAGCGTATCAAGGATGCTGATGAAACCTCACCTTTGTGGTCAATAAAGAGGCAAACCAAGGCAGATCTGTCCGAGCAACGGGGCCACCCGCACAGCCTAAGCATCTTCCAGCTAACAAATGCTAGCTTTATTCCTCCGTGAGACTCAATATATTTAGGAATAGCTCCCAGAAGCCAATTAGGATAAAGAAAAAAACCTAAGCAAGAAAACAACAGTTAAGTATTTTAAGCCAGCCACTTGTCAGTTCAACAGGTTTTCTGCTGCCAGGTACAAGATGTTCACCCCTGCAGTTAAGAGGCTCATCCCATAGACTAGATATAAGGAAGAAATTCTTTACAATGAGGGTGGTGAAACCCCGGAACAGGTTGCCCCGAGAGGGGGTGGAGGCCCCATCCCTGGGAACATTCCAGGCCAGGTTGGACGGGGCTGTGAGCAACCTGATGTGGTTCAAGGTGTCCCTGCTCCTGCAGGGGGGTTGGGCTGGGTGGGCTCTGGGGGTCCCTTCCCACCCAAACCATTCTGTGATTCTATGATTCTAACAGTGACAGTGCTGTTGAAGAGGTCCAGGAGTGAATGAGCATGATTTCTGGGACCTGTGGGACCAGAGAACAAGCGACTGCCACGAAAGAATAATGCATTTCTGCATTATGCACAGAGCAAGCAAAGCCCCTTTGAAGGCACCTAAGAGGCACGAATTACAGCCTGCTCCCTGCTCGCCATTGTTTCAACAAAAGGCTTCCTGACGCAGGACTGAAAGGTTAGCAAATCATTACCGCGTCTTCACTGTTTGCTAGCTCCTACAATGGATCTTTAAGAAAATGCGTCAAGCTTCCTCCCCTCTTACCGTAAGAGAAAATGAACTGTTTTAACAAACCGGAGAGTCCTTCCTGCAGTCGAACTCACCAATGCCCCAAAGCTCTATAGGAATAACTTCCAAAGGAACATCCAAACCACAAATGCGTGGCTGTACTTCACTGCGATCTACCCAAACGTAAATTATTGTTATAAATGGAGATAGCAGCAAGAGTACTCAGCAGAAAGCATAAAACTTGCTGAGCAGCAGAGTGAACTCCACTGGCAGGGCAGCTTGGCTCCACAAACCCCGGTGCCGCTGCAGTGAGCCTGCGGAGTAAATGCGTGAGCTGGATGCTCTGGAGCCAGCTCCACCGGGTCTGCTCGACTCGCAAACCAACCCTCAAAAGGAGCCCGAACCAAGCCCGGTTATGTCGGATGACAACCCGGCACTTTACTCCATAAAAATTCAGTTATTTGCTATCTGGAAAGAGCATTTCCATGCTTCTGTGCCCAGTTCGCTGCCTTCCATAGCTCCTGCTGCGTTCTTCAGGCATGGTGGAGAAATAAAACCAGCAAGCTATCAAACACTGAAGCTTTGCTCTGGGATGCCAACATGAATCAAACCCCACAGACCCAAATGCTTTTTGTTAGACAACCCTCCAGATACCGTAAGATTATTTCAGAAGTCATGAGATTAA